GCTTAGAATAATAGGGGAAAGGATGGAACTAGAAATCTGGACACCTAATTTCATTTGGAATTTGACATGTACTAGCTTTAGAACTGGACTATCTTACTCTCTCACAAAATCTGTTTCCTGATTTGCTACATGAGGATAACAGATTGCCCATGTTCTGGTCCCTTACTTTTCTTGCATCTTGAGGGGCATATTTATAGAGAATGAAATCAGATTTCATGGTTGTATTGTTTCAACTGAAAGAGACAAAACCTAGGCAGGGTGGAAACCAAGAGGTTTCCTCTGTAACAGTTTCCCTTCACCAAGATTTCCACTTCAGTATTTCAAATTTAGTGCTGTTCATAAAAGGGACATTCACATATTTGGGAGTTTTCTGTTTCAACTAGGTCAAAAAAGAAATAGGGAGAGAGGAGCAGGAGGACAGGGCTGGAAGGAGGCAGATGTTCTTGGGAAAGCAAGTTTGTGACTGTTTAAGCACACGGCAACAGGAACTCGGTGGAGGAAGAAAATATAAAAATAAAGGAGAAGAAAATGTTAGAATAATAGAGATGAAGAGAATGATGTTCTCGAGAAAAAAGAGGTTGGTTGGGATGGATGTGGAAGAAAAGCAAAGATCTTATTTAAACCAACAGACAGCATAGAGTGAATCTTCCCAGAGGCTGGTTTAGAGAATGTTTAGATTAACAGAACAGCAAGGAAACTAAGACTTCAATTAGGGTATCACTGGGGTAAGCAGGTTATCAGAAAAGTCACACTTGGCTGTTAACAGTTTTTCTATGACCTCTTTCAACACAGATGATGTTGACAGTTTGAACATGAACATGTTAGAAGTATGTTTTAGAAATGATTCTTCCTCCAAACATGCCAAGCGAAGTGGTTCTAGACAGAGATGGGGAAATGGCATTTTCCATGTCCTATTTTCTTCTGATTTTTAAACTACAGGGATTTCTAAAAAATGTTTTGTCCAAACCTGCATCAGAAGGACACATTCCTTTGTGTTATATAAGCTGTCAAGGTGAAGCTGTTTTACATCTTTACAATGGTTTTTTTTTTCTAAAACAGACAATATACAAATAGTCATTGATATTTCTAAATCTAAGAACCAAAAGAAAGAACTATATAAGAATAAAAATTCAAGCTCCCATCTCTAATTCCGAGTTTATTTAAATAATTATGTGAAGACTTTTTGTTTTGTCTACATTTCAAATAATTGTTTGGGGCTGGGGTGTAGGGTAGCTCAAACATTTTTGTATTAATATAAAAGGGAGAAGAAAATGTCAGAAGAAAAGACAAAAATTGTTTTAAATTTGTTATTTTATTATACTGTGATGGTTTTCTCAGACTTTAGGGACAAGACTTTTCTCTAAATGTGATAATAAACTAGGCTTCTATGATTTTGTTAAAGCATTTCTTCTGTTTTTTTAATAACCAAAAGGATTATCAGAAAATGTGTTTATATTATTTGAAATATCTACCTAGTGGAATTAATGTCTTTTATTTGGTGTTGGTAATCCTTAGAGGAAGGTAAACAAGAACACTAATGAAATTACTTTACACTTATTTTTTTTTCTCTAGTATGTACAAAATTTCTTTCGTCTTTCCTTCTGTCCTCCTTCCCTTCTTCTTTCCCTCACTCCCTCCATTTCTCTCTCCTTCCCTCCCTGAATTACTCCTTATGCCTTCCTTCCTTCCTCTCATTCATTCTTTCTTTCTTCTTTTCTTCTGTTCATTCCAATTCTGAGGATTGAACACAGGGTCTCATGCATGCTAGGCAAGCATGCTACACAAGCTATATCTCCAGGATATTTTATTTGTTTTCTCAGATAGGATCTTGTGAATTGCCCAGAGTGGCTTTGAATTCCTGGTTTCCTGCAATCCCACTGCCTCAGGCTCCCAAGTGCTAAGACCAGAGGCCCACCACACCAAGCCCAGATTCATCGTGGGTTTTGGCTTTAGTTTTCCCTTCTCCACGTGGCTACCCATCTGTTCACTTTACTTAAATTTGTGTTGACTTTACTTCAAATTTGTGTTCACTTTACTTAAAATTACACACACTTTTAGTATAGCTTCTCTGTCTATATGTACTGCTTGAGAATGCATTCAAACTCACCTTCAATTATGAGCTTTGTTTTGATTAACAGTATTCACTAAAATCAAAGAGAAACATTCACTTTCATAATATTGTGTGCATGATAACAGAACTCATTTCTTAGCAAATTTGATATATACTCACTTTTGCTACATATCCGTATGTTCATTACTATCTAGTCATTCCTTTTAGTTCTGAGCTGTTTTTGACTTTTGCTTCTATCTTTCCAGAACATACTGTAACTCCCTCCAAATGAAACTTTTTATAATATCTATTTATTAATTGTAGTTCAACATAATACCTTTATTTTATTTATTTTTACATGGTGCTGAGGATTGAACCCAGGGCCTCGCATGTGCTACGCAAGCCCCCTAACGCTGAGCCATAACCTCAGCCCTCACATGAATCTTATGTAATATGACACTTTTATTTATGGATGAATTATCACTATTGTTATTGTTATAACCACACTAAAGATGAGTAACCTGAAGCTCAGAAACTTTCAATTTCTTTCAAGAAGCATTTCTTGAGAAACTGAATTTCAGGTACTCATTTTCATGTAGGATCAGCAGTTAGGCTGAAAGAGCGCAAAGAATGATGCTTAAATTATCATTTGGATGGTAAAACTGAACTCCAGGAAATATCATGTGACCTGGACAAACAAAAGGAGATACTAAAAATCACTGTGGTGATATCAGTAGATTTTCTATGAACAAGAAAAAACAAATTTCTGTTTCTCCAGATTTCTGGTCTTTGCAACAAGAGTCCTGGCCAGGGAAAAAGTTTCCATAATCTGTTGCTGATTTTGAACAAGTTTATCTCACTTCCCTGACCCTTGGTGTACTCATTTGCTAACTGGTAATGTTGGGGTTTTCTCTGAGTTTGAAAATGCTTCAGTTCTAGGGCAAATTCATGAGTCAATACTAGTGCAGGCTCAAAAAAAAGGTAGGACAGGTAGACGGATGCTTTTAGAGAACAAAGTGTGAAGCAGACCACTTGGGACTTCTGTGCCCAATTTGAGAGAAAAGGCAGGGAATCAGAAGAGTACTTGCAGCCATCCTAAATGGAGTGATTTGGGGTCTCTCAATGATTATTGGAATGAGGGCCTTCCTGATTACTACAACATTAAGATGATATGGTTCCTCAAATATTGTAAGAATCTGCCTGTCTCATCAATATTTTCACCACCCTTCTCTTCCTACAGAACATTTCCAAAATTCTTCTTTACATGGAAATGCTGATTCTCTGCAGCTCTCTCTTCCTGTGGTGACCAATGCAGCTTCCCTGACAGGAAGTGTCTGCAACTTCTCCAGAGCCTCTGCTCCAGCTGCCACTTCAGCATGGTTACTGCCCTCAACCTGTGGCACCTCCTTCCAGCCACTCATGGGCAGTGCCTACCTTTATCAACATGCTGGCACAGCCATGGTGTCTGGAGTTACTGGCCAGAACCAGATTCCCATGGCACCTGCCCCCTATCCAAGTATTTCTGAGTGGTATATCCCAGGAAGTGCTGAAAAGAGCTCATCCTCACTCAGGGACTTTAATATGACTGTCACTGACCAGAATACAGCAGATTCTTCCCTATCTATGACATTCCAGTATGACAAAACTTCCAAAGCCAATGTCATGATCCCTGGGTATCCACTACTATCGGGTAGGCTCGTCCAGGTGACACTATCTCAGATTCCAAATCAAGGACATTGCCTCTCACTACCCCACCATGAAGGAAGCCAGGTCTACTACTATGATCAAAGCTCTCTGGGGACTCTGCTCTCTGGAGAACATTGGCCCTGCCTGCAATCCTATGGCTCTGTGCCATATGCAGGAAGTAGTGCCACTGCCCCTCAACCAGAAATGGTGACAGAAATGGTGCTAAAGGAAGTTCAGCCCACAAATGTCCTACCATCAGTCCCTACACCTGTGACCTACTACTCTGTGTCCACTCAAAGTATAGAAGGAACAAATTTTCAAGGTGAGTACAAACAGCAAAAAGGGGAAGGAATGAGATTACCATTCGAAAGGAGGGTCCAGTTTTCAGCTGGTAACTGTGGGTCCACACATCCCTAGAATTCAAGTGCTGAGATTTTAACCACAATCTTGTTCAGCAGTCCCCATTTTCAGTCTCTGTAGGAGAAGCATGCAGCACAGCATAATGGCCACCCATGCATTTAAGAGACCTCTAGGAGCACACGGAAGGAAGCGGCTGTTCACTATTTTTGCACTCAGTCCAGCTACACAACCAAACTATAAATATATTTCGCTAATTTTACTTTGATTTAGAAAAATACATCAACACATATCAGGGTGTGACAGTTTAATTGTCCCTTAATTGACTGCAGGATTTAACCTCTGTATGTAGAGATGCTGTCCAAAGCAGGAGTCCAAAACCCCTGACCATTCACATTGATCTTATGAGCATCAGCTCCACCCTCTCCTAGGTCATGGTGTTAAGTGTTCTTACATTCTAGGGAGAGTGGAGAGAATTGAGAGGCCCCTATATGAGAGCGAGAGACTTCATGAAAGAGTTTTTCTGGGTTTCCCACAGAGGAGACAAGTGCTCTACCGGAAACCCATGCTGCCATGGTGATGAACCAGCCCAAAAGTAACACTTCAAGGGATCACCTGTAACTAATATGCAACTCTTAACAGATATCTGTCAGTGGTCTTTAAAAAGAGCTAATATAAATGCTTTCTCCACAGTTGGTGGTTTCCCTGAATAGTGTGGAGCTGGGAAGGGGGAGCATCCTACTTACCATCGTCCTTGTTTCCTTTGCAGGGATGGAAACTTCCCTAGAAATGGAGGCTTCCTTGGGATTGCAACCTCCAAGTCAGACATTTTGTCTGCCACAGCCTCCGGAATTCCTGTACATCTGCAAAAACAGAAAAAGCCAAATAATTGAGAAAAACTCACAAACTGAACTTGGGGACATTTCCACAATAACTCCAGTCCAGAGTTCTACTGATTTCTTGGCATTGCCTCCGATTTGATTTAAAGCCAGGAACAAACAGAGATTAAGAATTTGTGTGAGATTAACACCATGCTCTCAGAACCACTGGATGGCTACCAGATTGCCATGGAGAACCAGGATCCTCCACTACTCCCTTTAGACATCCCTGAAATCCACCAGCTTCTGGCCTCCATTGGTCCTCTGGACCAAGAGGAGAAGCCACATTCTGAAAATATCCTTCTAGAAAGGAATATGCTGAGTCTTGAGGACCAAGGCACACTTGAAAATGCAAATCAATTTAGCAGTTGTTTGGGAGACCTCACTGCATTGCTGGGGGATATTCACCTTCCTGAGCTTTTCGATTCCTTGAAAGACCTTTACCAACCTGAAAGTCCCACAGTAACAAAATCCAATGACACCAGAGCCATCATGGTGAATCAGGGGCAGGAAATCACAAGTGCCTTAAACGGTCCTAGTGATCCAGTGAGGAAGAACAAACATAAAGCCTCAGAGTCTCCTCATGGAACTCCTCAGGCCAAAATGCAGCTAAGGGACCTAGAGTGTGCATTAGGAGGAGAAGTTGCTCACAGGGATGCAGACAGCAATAGGGCCAATGTGCACACGGCCAAGCACTCTAACAGCAAAGCTCAGAAAGCTGCATCCAGCAGGAACAGCAAGGCTAAGGGCCATGGGCAGGAAAAGACCAAGAGAACCAGAGAAAACAACTCCAAGAAAGCCGAGGAGAAGAAGCAGCCAGGCAACAAAGTTCGAGGCAGAAGAGAAGCCAACTGTGCCCAAACTAAAGCGGAAGAGGAACCAACCTGAGCTTTGCCAAGAGTCCTTTAAAAAGCCTTGGAGCTGTCTCGGCATGCACATGTTGGAGTCGGTGCAGGTTTTCCACGCACTGGGGAAGAAGAATAATAAGAAAACTGGGCTCTCTTCCTCCCGGGCCCTGGGAAACTCAGGCAGTACCCAAGACCCCCGTGCATGCCCAGCTATGAAACCATGGCTGGTGGTTAAGGGTCCTGAGAAATCACAAGTCAAAGCCCAGAATCCAGATATCGGTGCTGAAGGAGAGGGTCCCTCTCCATCCATTTATGAGCCTCCACCACCTGGGAAAGTAAAATTGGTACCTTTGCCTTTTCTGACCCAAGAGAAACCTCCACCTCCACCAGCAATCAATAGGAGGCCACAGTCTCTGGCCTCACGGAGACCCACTGGGTCTTACCCTGCCCAGCCTGGCCCTGCTAGCTCAGCTCAACCCATGGCAGTCAACACATCCCAACC